TCCATGTCCCCAGTGTCACCAGGACCCCAGAAACATTGTGTTGGGACAGGTCATGGTGGCCTCCATGTCCCCAACACCCTCCATGTCCCCAGTGTGACCAGGACATGGGAACATCATGCTGGGGCAGGTCATGGTGGCCTCCATGTCCCCAGTGTCACCAGGACCCCAGAAACATTGTGTTGGGACAGGTCATGGTGGTCTCCACATCCCCAACACCCTCCATGTCCCCAGCGTCACCACCTGGCAACGGGAGCGGCCAAGATGGGGCAGATCATGGTGGCCTCCAACACCCCCAACATCCCGGTACCCCGCTGTCCCCGCGGTGTCCCCGCGGTGTCCCCGCTGTCCCTACCTGGTGGCGGGGCCGCGGGGCGCGGCCGTGCTGCCGCAGGAAGCGGTGCAGGCCCTGCCACGCCCAGTGCAGCATCGAGGGCCTCTCGGCCTTCCCAAAATCCGTCACCATCATCTCGGGCTCGGCCAGCGCGTCCCGCAACCGTTTCTGGGACAGGATGGGGACAGGTGACATCCCAGTGTAAACCAGTACAGCCCAGTACCACCCCCTAAGCACGTCCCACAACCATTTCTGGAGGGGGCACCCCAGTGCAAATCAGCATAAACCTGTACAGCCCAGTATAAACCAGTACAGCTCCATATAACCCAGTACACCCTAGCATAAACTAACATAAACTAGTACAACCCAGAACAAACCAGTACAGCCCAGTATAACCCAGTATAGCCTACTATAACCCAGTATAAACCCACATAAACTAACATAACCCAATACAACCTGGTATAATCCACTATAACCCAGAATAACTCAATAGAGACCAGTATAACCCAGTGTAGCCCAGTATAACCCAGTGACGCCCAAGCCCCTCCCAGTGCCCTCCCAGTGCCCCCCAGTCCGTCCCAGTGCCACTCACGAAGTGGATGTGCTTGGGCATCTTGACCTGGGTGACGATGCCACCCCGCACGTAGTCCCCGTAGCCACTGGTGTCCCCGATGCTGAACGTGTAGGGCCCTGGGGACACAGGGGTGTCACCAGGGCACCCCAAAAAGGGCCCCAGGTGTGTGGGAGAGCCCAGAAAAGGGACCCAGGTGTGTGGAACAGCCCAAAAAGGGCCCCAGGTGCCTCAGAGACCACCCTGGAACAGCCCCAAGTGAGGGGGGTACCCCAGGAATGGCCCCAGGTGCCTCACAGACCCCTCAGAGCAGCCCCAGGTGCCTCAGAGACCCCAAAAGTGCCCCAGGTGAGGGCCCCCCAAAGCCAGGGCTCACCCAGCACGCGGATTTCCACCGGCCCGCAGCGGTTCAGCTCCTCCATCCCCTCCACCTCCGTGAAGGTGACAAAGTCGCCCGTCTCGAAGCCATGGCGCGCCTCGTCCAGGCAGGTCACCTCCCCAGGACAGCCCTGGGGACAGGGGGCACGGTCAGGGGACAGAAAGGGGACACAGGAACCTTCCCAGGACAGCCCTGGGGACACGGGGCATGGTCAGGGGACACGGGGGGGACACAGGAACCTTCCCAGGACAGCCCGGGGGACACAGAAGGGACACAGGAACCTCCCCAGGACAGCCCTAGGGACAAAGGCCATGGTCAGGGAACATGGGGGGGACACAGGAACCTCCCCAGCACAGCCCTGGGGACAGGGGGCATGGTCAGGGGACAGAGAGGGGACACAGGAACCTTCCCAGGACAGCCCTGGGGACACAGAAGGGACACAGGAACCTTCCCAGGACAGCCCTGGGGACACGGGGCATGGTCAGGGGACATGGGGTGGGACACAGGAACCTTCCCAGGACAGCCCTGGGGACAGAGAAGGGACACAGGAACCTCCCCAGGACAGCCCTGGGGACACGGGGCATGGTCAGGGGACAGAGAGGGGACACAGGAACCTCCCCAGGACAGCCCTAGGGACAAAGGCCATGGTCAGGGAACATGGGGTGGGACACAGGAACCTCCCTAGGTCAGCCCTAGGGACAAAGGCCATGGTCAGGGAACATGGGGGGGACACAGGAACCTTCCCAGGACAGCCCTGGGGACACGGGGTATGGTCAGGGGACACGGGGGGGACACAGGAACCTTCCCAGGACAGCCCGGGGGACACAGAAGGGACACAGGAACCTTCCCAGGACAGCCCTGGGGACAGGGGGCACGGTCAGGGGACACGGGGGGGACACAGGAACCTCCCCAGGACAGCCCTGGGGACAAAGGCCATGGTCAGGGAACATGGGTGGGACACAGGAACCTCCCCAGGACAGCCCTGGGGACACGGGGCATGGTCAGGGGACACAGGGGGGACACAGGAACCTTCCCAGGACAGCCCTGGGGACACGGGGCATGGTCAGGGGACAGAGAGGGGACACAGGAACCTCCCCAGGACAGCCCGGGGGACACAGAAGGGACACAGGAACCTCCCCAGGACAGCCCTGGGGACATGGGCACACAGGAAACCCCCCCCAGAGGGACACAGGGGCTGCTGAGGGGCCCAGGACACCCCAAAACCCCCCTGGACACCCATGAGGGGACAGCTCGGGGCTGTCCCCTCCCCGTACCTTGGTGACCATGGACACCATGGCACTGAGGGGCTGCTCCCCGTTGGGGTCTGTCACCACCATGTCGTCCCCAAAGTCACAGAACAGCTGCCTGCGAGAGGGGGATCAGCATGGAACCCCAAAAGGGGTCCAGCCTAAAATCCCACCCTACAATCCCACTCCAAAAGTCCCACCCCAGAAAAGAATTTCCTAAAAATCCTCTCTAAAAGGGATATATGCAAAAATTCCCACTCTAAAACTCCACCCCTGAAAAGAAACTCCTAACAATCCTGCCTCAAAAGTGATCTACCATAAAACGTTTCCCCTAAAATCCCCATCCCAAGTTATCCACCACAAAATCCCCACCCCAAAAGGGATTCACCCTAAAATCTCCACGCCAAAAAGGAACTTCCTAAAAATCCCACCCCAAAAGGGACCCATCCTGGCAAAATTTCCCCCCTAAAAGGCCCTTCCCAAAAGGGATCCACCCCAAAAATCCAACCCCAAAAAGGACCCACCCCAAAAGGGACCCACCCCAAAAGGGATCCACCCCAAAAATCCTACCCCAAAAATCCAACCCCAAAGGACCTTTCCCAAATGGGACCCACCCCAAAAGAGATGCATCCCAAAAATCCCACCCCAAAAGGGACCCCAAAAGGGATCCACCCCAAAAGGGATCTACCCCAAAAAGGACCCACCCCAAAAGGGATCCACCCCAAAAGAGATCCACCCCAAAAATCCCACCCCAAAGGACCCTTCCCAAATGGGACCCACCCCAAAAGGGATCCACCCCAAAAATCCCACCCCAAAAGGGACCCCAAAAGGGCCCCGTTTGGGGGTGCCCCTCACCCGAAGAGCCCGCGTGTGTCGGCCACCACCAGCTTGATGCCGTGGCTGTGGCAGAAATCGCCCACCCAGAGCTGCTCCTCCAGCGGGGAGTTGGTCAGCACCACCACCTGTGGGACAGGGCAGCTGGGCACTCACCTGGGCACTCACCTGGGCACCCACCTGAGTCACCCAGGCCACCTGAGCTAGGGCAGCTTGGCCACCTACCTGGGCCACCCGCCTTGGCTCAGCTGGGTCACCTACCTGGATTACCTGGGACATCTGACCCCCCCCAGGTGGGCACACCTGTCTGAGGGGGCACACCTGAGGGGGTTAAACCTGTCTGAGGGGGCACACCTGGGGGTTACAGCAGTCCCCAGGTGGGCACAACTGTCTGAGGGGGTTACACCTGTGCCCAGGCGGGCACACCTGAGTGGGTTACACCTGAGGGGGCACACCTGAGGTTTACAGCAGTCCCCAGGTGGGCACACCTGTCTGAGGGGGTTACACCTGTGCCCAGGCGGGCACACCTGTCTGAGGGGGTTACACCTGTCTGAGGTTACACCTGTCCCTAGATAGGCACACCTGAGGGAGTTACACCTGCCTGAGAGGGTTACACCTGTACCCAGGTGGGCACACCTGAGGGGGTTACACCTGTCTGAGGGGGTTACACCTGTGCCCAGGTGGGCACACCTGAGGGGGTTACACCTGTCTGAGGGGGTTACACCTGTGCCCAGGCGGGCACACCTGTCTGAGGGGGTTACACCTGCCTGAGGGGGTTACACCTGTGCCCAGGTGGGCACACCTGAGGGGTTTACACCTGTCTGAGGGGGTTACACCCGTGCCCAGGTGGGCACACCTGAGTGGGTTACACCTGTCTGAGGGGGTTACACCTGTGCCCAGGTGGGCACACCTGTGCCAGGTTACCTGGAATGTGCCCAGCAGCTCCTGGGACAGCGGCTCCCGGGTGCTGCTCACGGCCACGTAGGAGTTGAGCTCGGCCAAGCGCGGCAGTGTGGCCTCGGCCCGGCTGCGCCCCACGTCCTCCTCCCGCAGGTAGAACTGGGGGGAACGAGAGTCAGGAAACCCTAAAATACCCCAAAACAACCCCAAAACACCCCCAAAGCAGCCCCATGAACAACCCCAAAGCAACCCCAAAACATCCCCATAAACAACTCCAAAGCAACCCCAAAACATCCCCAAAGCAACCCCAAATCATCCCCAAAACAGCCCCACAATATCAAAAAAAAAAACCCCAAAAACATCCCCCAAACATCCCAAAAACCCCCCAAAAACTTCCCCCAAACATCCCCAAATACCCCACATCCTCTTCCCCCAAGCAGAACAGGGGAGGAATGAGGGCTCGGGGTGGGGCTGGAACCTCTAAAAAATCCCAAAACACCCTTCAAAAAACCCCCTAAGACCCCAGAAACATCCCCAAAACACCCCAAATTCCCCACAACACACTCCCAACACCTCCAAAACCAACCCCAAACACCTCCAAAACACCCCAAAATCACCCCAAAATAAACCTCCCTCCAAAATCCCCTCGCACCCAGAAGAAACTCAAGCCCCCGAACGCGGCAATTAACGACATTTTGGGGTAAAAAAACCCCAAAAAAGCCCACAAGGACCCACCTGGGAGGCCAGGTCGGCCCAGGCTGCGGGGTGGGGGTCGTGCAGCGTGACGGATTTGACCCCCCCCAGCACCAGGTTCTTGGCCACCTCCACGCCCAGCCCCCGCAGCCCCGACACCAGCACGTTGGAGGTCTGCATGCGCTTCATGGCCTCGTGGCCCAGCACGTACCTGGGAGGGAGAAAACCCCCCAAAAAAATCAGGGGAAACCCCAAAAAACTCAAAGCTCGCAGGGGAAACTTGTAAAGGTTGTAAGATGCCCCCACAGTTTAAGTACGTGCTGCTTAATTGCTTAAAATAATAAAAAATCCTGAATTTATGGGGAAATCTCAATCCATGAGATCACACCCATAAAGAAGCCCAAGTTTATGGGAAAACCCCAAATCCATAAGGAACCTCAGTTTATGGGGACCCCAAAAACCCAATGGAAGCCCAAAGAACCTCAATGAAGTGCTAAAGAACTCAACAGGAACCCAAAAATCTCAATGGGATCCCAAAGACATCAATGAAAAGTCAAATATCTCAACGGGAACCCAAAGACCTCAATGAAAACTCAAAAATCTCCATGAGATCCCAAAGAATGGGAACCCAAAAATTTCGATTGGAACCCCCTCAAGGCTGTAGAACCCCCCGAATTCAAGTGCATCCCCATACTTATAAAATTCCCAAATGTATAAGGAAACCCTAATTACGCCACATCCCCAAACCCATGGGGACCCCCCAAACTATGGAGAAACCCCAAATCCACGGGGAAACCCCAAA